TTCAGTTTTTACAATGCGAAACGTTACAGAGCCTAATAATGCCCTTAAATTACCCATGGGTAGTTTTTCGGGTAGTAGTATTACGAAAAAAGCTGGTATACTAGCCCCTTCCCACTTCAGTTGGCCCAACTATTGAAATCTTAGTTTCTTTATTATCAATGACAAATAATAAAAATGTAGCAGGGCGTTATAGGTTTAAAATAGTAACAATGAATATTTTGATAATATATAGTAGAAAGCCCCAACTTTATCACTCCCTAATCAAATTTGCAGCATAAAAATAACACATGTTGCAATTACAGCATATCAACCTATTTTCATTACAATGCAAAATAAGTCTATAACGCATAGGTGGCTGTGAAAAATAAAAGCCATGACAGTTGTTTTTATTAATCACAACTGTCAGAATACGTTTAAAATAGTTTTGGGTAGTTAAGGTTTTCAAAATGGTTAGAGGAAATGCTATTAATGAGAAAATTCGGTTACTGATAATTAAATTTTATAATTCTGGGAAATCAAACTCAGAAATTGCAACTTTGTTAGACTTATCACGGAACTGTGTGAGAAATATTGTTAGAAGATATATATGGTTCAGTTAATATTAAGCCACGATATGTGGAAAAAAGTAATATCACAAATGCCGACCGAAGAGCATTAAGAAGAATAATCGTGAAAAACAGGCGTGCCAATTATTTACAATTAAGAGCTCTGTGGAGTGACGCTGTTGGAATGAGAATTTCGAGGTCCACAACTCACAGAGAGGCCCACAAACTGGGATTTAGCATTTGCAAGGTAAGTTTTCTTATAAAAAAAGGTGAAGTAAAAACCCTAAAGTTGCACAACTTGTTTATAGACAAAAGAAAAGCCACTATTGACACCACTGCAAAAGTAAAATCGGCTTAGATGGGCTAAAGGACATAGACAATGGACACCTCAAAAATGGTGTGCAATACAATGGAGTGATGAGGCCCGATTCGAAGTTTGTGTTGGTGACAGTCGCAGTAGAGTTATCCGCAAAAAAATGAAGCATTCCATGTTGACTGCCTGAAGAGAAAGGTGAAATTTCCAGCCTCCATTATGGTCTGGGGCTGTATGTCATCAAAAGGAGTAGGAAAACTTCATTTCATTGATGGAAATATGGATACAAACAAATATTTGGCAATTTTAAAAGAATCGCTTTTACCAGGGATGGAAGAATGTTTGACATCCGGCCAAGATTTTGTGTTTCAGCTAGATGGTGCAGCGTGCCATACCTCAAAAAAGCCTATAAAATGGATGGAAGGAAATAATGTACCACTTTTGAAATGGATTTCTAGCAGTCCAGATCTGTCACCTATTGAAACTTTGTGGCACGAAATGAAAAAGGTTCTACGACAACATCCTGCTCGTACAATCACCGAACTGAGACAAAAGCTTCAAGAAATATGGGATCATTTTACACCAAATTTTTGCCGAAACTTGGTTAACACTATGCCCCAAAGAATTTCAGCCGTAATAAAAAATAAAGGTGATGTTACCCAATGATAATCTTTCAATTGTTGCTTTGTAAACTTCGCGCATTTATTCGCACATTGTTTACTTGTTCAGATGTTCTATTAGTTATAGGTCTAAGTGATTTCAAATATTTATTTTTTACGACTAGAGTGTATCTAAAATGTTTTTAAGAAAATAAATTGTTTTAGAAGTAAATAGTTTCGTCATGTTTAGTTTATACAGGCATATTTTGGTACAAATCTTGAGGTGGGCCAACTGAAGTGGGAAGGGGTTCGTAGGTAGACGTCTAAAAACTGTTTTACAGTTCGCAAGATCATTGCATCTAATTGCTTGTAGTTGCAAGACGCCCCTGGATTCAAACGACTAAGGTTAGCTAACCCAAATGAATAAATGAATGAAATATCTCCTCACACCTACCTAACCTATATTTTTGGTTAGCCTTCAGAACTCATGGTCTCCATATCCAAAAACTAAATCTCTGACCATCCAACATCAAAACATAATCGCACCTATATCTGTGAACAATTACCATAACTATAATCACACATGTCACCGGAATGGCCTGGGGATATTTGCATACTTTGATGACTTGAAAGTTACGAACTATTCCATCAGAATTACAGACAAACTTGCATGAAAAATCTACTTGATTGACTTCCATACAAGACAGCGGCCGTCGCAAGAAAATGACAGGAAAAGTCACCTGTGTTGTTAGTGCGCATGCGTCTGATCAACATTTGTCTGGCTTTTCCTGACATAATAACAGTCGGAGTTGAAACTATACGCGGATGACCAAACGAATAACAAGACAATCATACACCGTATGCAGTTATGTACATATTACATAAATTATCCTCTTTTAGGAAATCTCTGTCAATGCCGTGACACAATATGCTTAGGAGCTAGCAGTAATATAATAAGCAAGACATTTAACTAGACATGATGAACAAGCTTATACTACACTTAGTGGTAAAGAGACAGTAAAAACAATTTGATTTTAATAAAATTTTGTATGCGTTTAGACACGAGCAAGAAGAAGTTGAGATTGTATTTCGAAGAGAAAGCAATTGCTGTGTTGCTGATCTTGCTGAATCACCCCAATGTCGTATACGTTGAGACATGCTTCCAGTGAAGTGATTTGATGTTGAGGTATCTCATCACATGCTAGCCGTACGTGACTCCGAGCAGCAAGCGATTGTGGAGGATGAGGTGGAGAGATCGCTCGTCTTCCCATCATATCTCACGCATGTTCAATTATCGAGGTCAAGGAAGAAAATTGATTCGACCGTTATTGAGGTAGTCTACTGCAGCTCTAGCAATATGGAGACGGCCATTACCCTGTTGGGAAACAGGTATTTCCTGGATATACCATGGTGCCATCATACCTCCTCTTAAGGAAGCTACAGGACGTGAAGTAACGTTCAACTGGCACCAGGAGTCATAAAGACGTCGCGGACTAAGACGTGATGTGAAGTTCTCAATTGAAGTAACGTGCACTACACATTAGTTGTATTATTAGGTATTTACGAGGGATATCTTTTAAGTTTTGCATATGGAAATAAAACAATACGGTAGGTAGTTTTAAATGACTTTATTGTTTTTCGAAGTATTCTCCACGAAGATTAATACACATCTGCCTGCGCTCGAACCAATTTTCGAAGCACTTATTCCAATCGTTTGCTGGCAGATCCAAAACGGCATTTCTCACTGCGTCAACTGCTTCTTCTGGTGACTGGAACCTTTGACCACGCGGTCCGTTTTTAATTTTCGGGAAAGTAAGTAAATCGTTAGGGCTTAGATCGGGACTATATGGGGAATGGTTCAATAACTCCACGTTTTTCTTCCGTTAAATACTGCCTTGTTTTTTGGGCTTTGTGCGAGCTTGGATTATCTTGGTGGAGGATGATTCTTCTTTCGGGGTTGATTTTTCGAAGCTCGGTGATGACTTTTGTCAAACAAATGGTGGTGTACCAATCCGCAGTAACAGTTCTTTGCTCATTAAGAGGAATTGTTGCAATATGACCCGCTTTTGACACAAATGTTGCGACCGCCTTTTTCGAAACACTTCGAGAACGGATGACTTTTGTTGGCTCTTCTTCACCTTGGAACACCCAAACAGCCGACTGTCGTTTATTTTCTGGTTCATAACAGTAAATCCACGATTCATCACTAACAATGCTGTACACATTTTTTGAGTTTCCGGAATTGAGACGGTCAAGCGTTTTTTGACACTAATTAACCCTGGCTGCTGTCAGCTCCTCAGTCAACAGGTGGGGTATCCAACGATAAACTAATTTTCTTACTCCTAAGTCTTCATGTAAAATTTTTTGAACTGAGGTCTTTGAGATCGTCAAGGACGCCTCAATCTCGCGATATGTCGCATGTCTATCTTCAATGATGAGTTTGCGCACAGCATCGACGTCTTCCGTCTTTGGTGCACCCACCCTGGGATCGTCGCTAAGACTCACCCGTCCACGTTTGAATTGTCGAATGATGGCCTACTATGTTTCTATATGCAAAACTTAAAAGACATCCCTCGTACCCCAATTTCTCAAAACCGTATTTTCTAACAAAATAGTGGCCTTCTTCATTTCACTAGAGCTACAGTAGACTACCTCAATAACGCTCTAGTCAGCCGCATTCCTTCCTAGATCTGGAGACCGTTCGTCACTTGAACATGTGTAGGATATGATGGGAAAAAAATGTGTCTCATTGGAGTGCAAGTCGCTAGGGATAAGGTACCTCAAGGAGACATAAATTACCTCATCAGAGGCAACCCCTAAAGACTCGATGAACGTATTGTATTGCCTTCCAGCACATTATTAGAGAGGTCCAGCTTTACAGCAAATGTTTTCACTCCAAACCTTAATCACTACTTGCTCATGCCTAACTGTATACAAAATATCATTCAACTAAATACCTCTTTACTGGGTAGGTATTCTATTCTCTTTATTACTCTTTATTACTATTACTTTTGATGATTTCTAGAATCAGTTTATACAACTTGATTTTAATTAAAATACCCAAATATAAAAATTGAAACAGGCCGTATAATGCGTTGTTTCAACATGCTACTAATATACGTACTAATAAAATACTGCTAGTGCAAAAGCCTAATTTTGACAGTTTTTAGTTGATAAAACTGTCTCAGTAAGTAAAACACAGACCTGATGGTACACCATAGTGTATCGAATTGTAACCGCCTACAAGTTAAAGTACATCCTAACTAAGTGTGAATAAAATTCCCGATAAAATGTTAGAAAGATGGAAGGAGGACCACTGCAATGTGTCTTACTTTATTTAACAACAATCCTAACCAAGGCATACACGCTAAACGTTACTCGGAATGGACGGACGTACTTTAATCCACGAATCAGTGTCAACTGTCGAGCCCTGTGACCGTGGCAAAAGAAATAACAGCTGTTCCATGACAGTGATTATTTCGGCGATAAACATATAAGGAATAACGACGTCGTAATAAATCAGTCTTAGACTTTCGAGCTTACCTCCATTTATAACCACCATCTGCACCAATTTCGTTTGTTTGACTAATGATTTTGATTTCCTGGGGACTTCCTTGAGGTTTTCCATACGTCGTGTAGACGCATACACTTAGCAGTGCTACCTGTAATCAGTTGTTCAATTATTTGCTGATTTATTACAGAAAACAATGAAGATTTTTACTAATTTAATTATAGACAAGTGCGGCGTGTTTATCAAAGGCCTGGCCGCTTATTCAATTGTTTGGCTAAGAAGAATCATCATTACAACAGACGCAAAACGCTAAGCCGCTAATAACCGTTTTTCCGCATATAATTTATGCATAAAATAAAAAATGTGAAATTGTGTAATCATTACTCTTTTACTGGCAAGGACACCGTGTGAATGATACGGCTACGAGTTTTTAATATTTAATAATATCAATAATAATAATAATAGTAGTTATAATAATAATATTAAACTCTTGAGAAACAAGTCTCTGCACGTTCAATTTGTTAGAAACCTCGATAAGCCAGCCATAGACAAACAGGCGACAATGGCATGGTTACAGAGCTCCGGACTAAAGGGAGAGACTGAGAGTCCTTTAGTTGCAGCACAATGCCAGGTACTAAAACGCGATAGCACTCAAGAAACATCTTGAAGCAGGCAACAGACAGCAAGTGCAGAGTATGTGGTCTTGATGACACCACTGTCAGGTGGGGCGGGCCTATTATCACCGATCGAACAATCCGAGCAAATCGGCTTGATGTTGTGATTCACAACGAACAACAAAAGACCTGCCTTCTGCTAGATAGCGCAGCACATGATGACTCAAACGTGATGCTGAAAGAAACTGGAAAGATCTCCAAATATGAAGACCTAGAGATAGAGATCAGTAGAATGTGGCATGTTAGAGCTAAAACTAAACCCATAATAGTGGGCGCCCTAGGAACCATTAAAACATGTCTAAACAACTACTTTCAAATGTTACCAGGGCCGCCCAGGGAAACTGAAATTCAAAAGATCGCATTGTTGGCCACCGCACATATCGTAAGGAAAGTGTTAAGGGTAATGATCTCAGAACTCCTGTCAAGCTCCGTGTTTACACCTGAAAACCGTCCGGAGACGAGATGAAAAAACACCAATAATAATAATAAGTGGTAAAAATAATAACACGGGCCCTTATTTGCACATTTAAAGAGCAACCATGTATTTAGGATAATCATATTAAGCTTTAACCAAGAAGGGGAGGTAATGGATGTTCTACATTCTACACTAATGACAACAGGTAATCAAATAAGTGTAGAATGATAGCCCCTAAATAATAATTAATAACGGTAAGCTATCAAAAAAGCACACTCGCTAATATCAACGTGGAAATGATACAACATTAAGATTAAATAAATCAAATCATTATACAGCACTGTAATACTATGTAATGCGCTGGCGGGTCAAATTGCGAATCATAGATGAACGATTTAATTATTGACGAAGAACTGATTATGAACCTCTTTATGTGACTGTGATACTGAGATTTAAGTAATTGCAGCATTCTATGAAACACACACGTTGTAGTATGCTATACTAAGTGACATATAAATCCGAACACCCAGTTTAAATGGTTTTATTTTAATAAAAGTTGGTGAATGTATTTATCTTACTGTAAATAACAAGTGAAAAAATTTTCAGCCTTATCAGTTGGACATTCCGGTTTTCATACTGCTTTTTTTTAATTCACTAACGCTCTAAAAATGAATATTTCAGCCGCAGTAAAGAATCAACGTTGGCGGATTTTGGATCTTGACATCGGTTACGATGCCTAGAGTACGGAGACCTGTACGATTTAGTCAACTTAGTGAGTTTGTTAGGGGCCGTATAGTGGGAATTCAGGAAGCTGGACTTTCTTTTCGGGCAATTGCAGTTAGAGTGCAAAGAAGTGTAGACACTGTGGTTAGGTGTTGTCAGGCATGGCTTCGAGAAGGCCGTACGCAAAGAGCAAGGGGCACTGGACGCCGCCGTAGAACAACAGACCGTGAAAATCGCCGCCTAAGATTATTGGCCTTAAAGGACCGTTTCTCCACTACCAGGTCCATTGCAGATGAATGGTTTGCAGAACACGAAAGACCTATTGGCATGCGAAGTGTTTACCGATGAATGAGAAGTTTTGGCTGGTTTTCATACCGGCCACACTGGGTCCTCCCTTTAACTCGAGAACACCGACGTAATCGCCTTGAGTGGTGCAGACAACGGTCACTCTGGGATCAGGAATGGAACAGTATTGTCTTTAGTGAGGAGTCTCGATTTTCTTTAGGCATGCACGATGGTCGTGCCAGAGTTAGAGGGCGACGTGGTGAAAGGAGGAATCCACAGTTTTTCGTTGAAAAACATGTTTATCACTCTGTTGGAGTTATGGTTTGGGGTGCTATAGCTTATGGTTCCATGTCACTTTTAATCTTCATCAGAGGTAACATGAACGAGCAGCGTTATATCCACGAAGTTCTAGAACTCCATCTTGACCCTATATTGACACCCTGGCAGATCCAACTTTCCAACAAGATAATGCCCGACCACATGTTGCAAGAGTCACAATAGACTTCTTTCAACATAATGATGTCACATTGTTACCATGGCCTCCAAGAACTCCCGACTTATCCCCAATTGAGCACGTGTGGGATATGATGGGTAGGAGATTGCTCAATTTGCAACGTCCTCATCAGACTCTAGAAGCACTTCGAGAGGAGTTGGTGGTTGCCTGGAATGAGATACCACAGGAGGACATTGACCACCTGATCAGAAGCATGCCTAGGCGCGTTGGTGAATGCGTAGCACATCCGGGTGCATCCACACATTATAAAAGGTCAAAGGGCTTTAAAGCAGTGCAATCATTTTGAAATATTTATCATTTACTTATTATGCTTCATTAAGTACTTATGCAAAATTTTATTAAAATAAAACCATTTAAACTGGGTGTTCGGATTTATATATCACTTAGTAGATACCTATATTATAGCAACTTTGTTTCTAAAGGTCGTGTTATAAATTTCGTTATTAAACATTTTTCCGACAATCAAGTTTTTACGTTAAACGTAACTAATGGATAAACATTGAATGATGGTATTTCACAAGGCCGCTTAATTTGAGCAATTTTGGTATATGGTATTTTGATGATATGTGATCAAATTGTAAATTATGTACTATGTATGTTTAAAGATGAACACAATTGTTTATTTATTGTATTTTTAGTTGATTGGCCTAAAGAAGAAAAATATAAAATGTTACAGTTATTTAAGTCGGACAATACTTAAACCGCACTTAGTTCTTGTCGAGATTTAAAATTAATTGAAAATATGTTTTTCCACCAGCGTGCAGAAAGTACTCACTTTCAACACGCATCTGCGTGCAGAAAGTAGCACTTTTTCGCACGCATAACTTTTCCGGGCATGTGCTACTTTCTGCACGCAGATGAGTGTTGAAAGTGAGTACTTTCCGCACTTGTAAATAACTATTGCCATTTGATATGCATATCCAGAAACAGGAATAATGTATAGCAATTTACTTAGTTAAATGGCATTTACAACGCCTGAAAGTAAAGTTACTAAATTGTCATGTAACTAGTAATCGATAGGCCGGGTGCGGAATGATAAGCCTACAAGAACACGAAGCTTGCATTGTCCAGCATCTGTATCTGTTTTGACAAGAGATACATATAGAAACCATTCGAACGACATTTGATTAGTTGCTTTCCACGTAAATCCTCAATTGAATTAGGTGTAGATACAAGGTTGCGTTTGTAAATCGTTTGGTAATGTAATACCGTACACAGTAATGTAATGCAGGTTGAGAGATCAAATTTTACTCTGACATACTGTGTAACTCTTTCTTAGAACGTCTAGATTATTGGAGAGTGATGTAATGACACTTGATGACAGCCTACCAATTTGCAATGTTTCCTGTGACCATTTTTTTATATTAAAAAACGATTTGGACGTATTTGTTGTGGAAAATATATATTCTGCCAATTTTGAGCACTTTTTGATAGCCGATTAAAGTAAAAAACAATGAATCAAAAGAATGACAACAGTACGACATTCATATTCCCAAGGTTTTAAGCACTGGAAGACAAGTACACCTTTGACGTTCCAGAAGATTACTTTGCTCTATTTCCGAACGCTGAAATTGTTACAAAGTAGTACAATTCACGAACGCAGACCTGGTGTTACATACAGGGTCCGGCAATGAAGTATGGTGTTTTTGCAACGACTATTACATGCAGCACTGTCGAGCCAATGTTTTCACGATGATTGATATCTACTCATTCCGCGATGCCATTTTAGTAGCCATGGAGCCGTGGTCTGTGGCACATCGCGTGTTTATTTACAACACTTTTATTGAAACTGGTCGTTCTGTTGTGCTCACACAGCGACGATTTCGAAACCATTTTAACGTTGGTCGGCATGGTTGCGTTCCAAGACGCGATACCATTTTGAAGTGGGTGAATAAATTTCAAACAACCGGATCGTTGAGACCTGGTACTGTAAGGGGAAGAGATCTAACAGTGCGAACTCCGGAAAACATTGAAAGAGTGCAACAAGCGGTGGATACTAGCCCTCACCGTTCAGCGGTACGTCACGCTCGCGCTCTTAGAATGTAAGATCGTTCAGTTCGCAGAATCTTACATTTGGACCTCCATTACCATCCGTATAAAATTATGGTTGTGCAGAAGCTGCTCCTAAATGACTTTGTGAGACGACACAGGTTCGCAGAAAGGATGCTGGAATTGCTGCACGGCAACATCGTTTTGTTCATGAGTGACCCATTTTCATTTATCGGGCATGGTAAACAAACAAAACTTCCGATACTGGGCACACGAAAACCCACGAGAACTGCATGAACAACCTCTGCACTCTGAGAGGGTAACTGTTTGGTGTGCCGTATCTCGAAATTGCATAATTGGCCCGTATTTTTTTCGTGAAAACGGACGAACAGTGTCAGTGAACTCAGATCGTTATTGCGCCATGTTGCGTGATTATTTTCTGCCCGAACTAAGAAGACGACGCATTGACATCAATACAGTTTGGTTCCAACAAGATGGGGCGACTTGCCATACATCAAGAGCTGCAATGGGCTTTTTAAGGGAACATTTTTCTGGGCGCCTTATTTCGTTGCATGGAAATGTGGAATGGCCACCTCGGTCACCAGACCTTTCATGTTGTGACTACTTTTTATGGGGCTATTTAAAATCCAAAGTTTACATAGACAAATCGCAAACTCTTGAGGCTCTTTCGGAACTCATAACGCGCGAAATTGAAAGGATTCCTCGTGCCATGCTAGAAAGGAGTATGGATGATTTTGCAATCCGTATCCAAGAATGCATCGACAAGAATGGACGCCACCTAACTGATGTAATTTTTCGCACCTGACTATGTTATGTTACTTAAATGGCATCATTCCACTAATGTATTAAAATAATAAATTTTGATGTATGTTTAAAAATGAAAGTTTGTATTTTTTTTCAAAAACACCATACTTCATTGCCAGACCCTGTATTTCAAAAACTAACAGCTGCGAGTAATAATGACTTTTCAACAATCTTTCATGTTTTTATTAGTTTTATATTTACTCCCCATAATGACCAACATAAATAAAAATATGTTTGCAGAGTTCTTGATTGACAAAGCTTAATTTGATTATGACCGGAAAACTGAAGAGGTGGGTCCTTTAAAGTACGCGCGCGGCCTTTTTTGAGACGACAGCTTTGAACCGTGTCATATCGTATGGGTATTACGTATCTTGCAGACTAGATAATAGGATCGTTGTGAGCGTCCATCTGTGGAGGAATAGCTCAACTACACGCATTGTTGGTGGCGTACGTTTTGCGAAGCCGAGTACTCTGTAGTTTTCAGCTCTGAGCAGAGACTCGGTTGAATAGCAAGATCGCATTTGGATGATTATGTGTATTGGTCTGTATGCATATAAAACCAATGATATTTGCTGTGCGAGAAGAAAATTACTAAATATGCTGTCGATGAAGTGTATCTATTATCTGTGTGAGACATGTTATTTATATATATTATATAAATAAATTACAATACTTTCTTTGTGTTTTCTAAGACTTTGAGGAGAATTACGGGAAATCACCAACACGCCTGCGCTGTGTGTAATTACTGTTTGCATTAGGGTTATCATCAACACATTATTACTACACAAATCCTCGCTATAATAATAATAATAATAATATTTATTCACCAAAATACAAAAAATGGGCAAATAAATATGAAAAAACCACAGAAGGCGTCGCCTGTGTGTGGTTTATATCTTAATAACTAACAATCAATCATATATGTGTATAACAATTATTGTTAAATCTAAAAGGTATTAATGTAATGGGAATTTTGTAGTTTTAGTTTTCTATATAATTATGTATAATCATTTGCTGCACATTACTAACCCAGTCTTTCAATTTTCTTCTAAATTTTTTTCCAAAATTAAGTATCTTTATTTCGTTTGGTACTACATTATATAATTTAGCTGCTAAGAATTTAAATGATTTTTTGAATAATGTTTTGTGTGATCTTTGGATATTAGATGAGCCTAGTCGAAATCGTGTGTTATGCTCGTGTTTATAGGATTTTTTCTTTTTATTACAATACTTATGGTATAAGATGGTGGCATGTAAGAAATAAAGTTGTCTTGTATCAAGTATCCCTGTTTCTTGATATAAGTTGTTCGTTGGATATAATCTTGGCTTATGGAAAATGGCTTTCAAAACAGTTTTTTGTGCTATATTCAGGTCAGAAATATATGTCTTGCAGGCGGCACCCCAGGCTGTGACGCCGTATATTATATGGGTTTCAACTAAGGCATGGTATAGGATTCGCAGATAACTTTCTGTAAGAATGTTAGCAAGCATTTTGAGTTTATTTCTAATTTCTTTGATAACATATTTAATATGGTTATCCCACCTTAGATGTGAGTCTATAAATATTCCAAGATATTTCAGAGTGTTAAACCTATCGATTTTGGTCTTTTGGCCATGATAATTAACGGAAATTTGTTCGAAGGTAGGTAAAATTTTTGAATAGGATGTAAATGCAATACATTTTGTTTTTTTGAAGTTAACTGTTAAAATTTTAGTATCAAACCAGTCAATGATCCTTATAAAATCCTTTTCAGCTATTTGCTTCAGTGTGCTCCAGTCATCAGCTTTATATAATACGAGGGTGTCATCTGCAAAACATATAATCTTTCCAGAACTGTTAATTTTGAATAAGTCATTTAAATAGAGAGTAAATAATAGTGGGCCTAGTACTGTTCCTTGAGGCACACCACACTTGATGTACATTTTTTTACTGTAAGTGTTAGTGATTTTGACAGTCTGTGCCCGACTTGAAAGGTAATTTTTTAAAAGGATTTGTGACGCTCCCCTAAATCCCAATCTTTCCATAACTTTCAGAAGCTCGACATGGTTAACCGTATCAAAGGCATTTTTTAGATCAACAAAGATATCAATAGTAGGTATCTTTTTGTTGACATTAGAGTTAATTTCATCCATTGCAGCCAAATTTGCATCTGTAGTAGATTTTCCTTTTCTAAATCCATATTGGTCAGAACATACAATTTTGTTTTTGTCCAAAAATTGTAATATCCTTTTTTGTACTAATTTTTCGAAAATTTTGGCTATATTCGATAGTACTGATATGGGTCTATAATTTGATGTTTCCATTCTGTCACCGCTTTTATAACAGGAGTAATAACAGTTGTTGTAAATGCATCAGGACAAATTCCAGATTGGAAACACCAATTAATGACGTAAGAAAGTGGTTCGGCTAAGTCGTAGGCTATTATTTTTAAATGGTCAGCTTTGATACCATCTACACCAGGACTTTTTTTGGTTTTAAGTGATAGGACAGCTTCTTGTACTTCAATCGGACTAACGCTTTCTAAAAAGAATGAATTGAAAGTTGGGTTTGTTGTGACTTTTCGTTCGAAACCATTTTTTTAATACTGGATGCTAAATTTTCGCCAACATTAGTGAAAAAATTTAAGAATGCATCGGATATTTGTCGTTTATCTGTTAATATTGTTCCATCACGATTCTTAATTTTATCAATATTTGGCTTTTCTTGAACGTCTTTGTTAGTTAAGTGATCGACAACTGACCACAGTTTTCTTGGATCAGATTTGGCATCTTGTAATATTTTAGATAAAATTGGCGTTTTGCTTCTCTAACTAGATTGATAAAACTATTTTCATATTCTTTATATTTATGGGAGGTATCTGCACATGGCGATGCTTTCATTATTTTGTATAGTTCCTCTTTTTTGTTAGCAGACTTTATCAAACCTTTAGTTATCCAGGGATTCCTGCTTCTGTCAAAATGTTTAATTTTAACTCTGTTTGTACTACATTCAATTAAATATTTTATGCGATCAATGAGTGTGTTTGCAGCATCATTAACATTCGTTGCACAGTACACTGCTGTCCATGATTCTAATTTGATATTTGCCATAACCTCCAGTAATGCTATCTATGAAGCTGATTTTATATCAGATCAAAGCCAAATATTGATGACTGAAGCCTCATGACGTTTAGGCAACACGTGTAACTACAAAACGAGTTCACAACATGTCCATGAGCGAGTGCTTAGTTAACATATTTTAGAAAAACTTACATAATGTCTCAAAAAACCAATATAATGTCAAAATATCGACATAAAGTCACTTTTCAAGATACGTAGTATCCATGCCGGCTAAGCTTGGGGTGAGTGACTCCTTGAGAAGTAATATAAACATAGGTGCGATAACCGTACCTACTAACATTTTTGTAGATTTTGTAAGCATGAGAAACTTTACAGGCACAGACGTATTGACGAACATTTTACAAAAATGATTAGAAAAACAAGCTATACTAAAACCAAAAATTGTTTCAACTGTGCTAGATGCCCGACTTTAATCCATTAAACTTTCTTTTGGAGGATTTGACTTTTATTGAGCGTCTTTCGTTTTCGATTTGATCCAGATTTTTAACGGTATGTCTGTACTTACTGATTTCTAACAAATTTTAAAGGAGCTACTTGGGGGACTTTTACAATTTTCTTTCGAGAATAAAAGAATATACTTAACAGAGATGGACATTAAGATGTTTGATTTTAAGCTTAATACTCCTGTAAGTAACGTACATTCTTAACGTGTGTGACTCTAATAAGTCCTCAAATAGCTATAGACTTCCAAATCTTTTTTTACTAAAATATATAAAGATAACGCTACAGTTGAGTTCACCTGAAATTTCACTACCTTGGCGAAACTTGGATCACTATCTATGCTCTGTACTTTTTAATGTAACGGCTTACAGTTCTTTGAGTGTATACGGAACCTCCTACTTTTCCTTTGACTCATTAAAAAAGGATAGGTTTTCGATCTAATATGAAGTTTTTTATGCAATGCATTCTCTGTATATAAGGTGCTAAAAGAGTGCTATCGAATGAAGTTTTATTTCTTAAATAGGACTTCTTATACAGTGAAATAAACTGTAATGTTTTATTTTGACTTATTACTGTACCTAGTGAAATAGTTGAATTCCTTCTGTGATCTGGGTTTAAACCAGATTCCATAGCTAGATGCATCAGATACCCATGAATAAATGACAAAGTTTTATTCTTTGATGGAAATAATGAAAATAATTATAACAAACCATAGGTATTTAAAATCAGAGAAAGGCAATTGAAAATATACAAGACGTTACTATTTGTCGTGGAATTTTAATACCACTTTTATTTCGTACAAAAAAGGCAGCGCATGTTAGACTACACATATTTCACCTTATTATTTCTGTAATTTTCGAACAAACATACAGGACAATTTATAGCGTCATGCTTAATTACTACAAAGGTACTGTCAAAGCTACTCACCCTTAGCCAATCCATGTTTATCCCACACACAAAATGACAGGCAGCAGCACTGATTATAACAGCTTCCAGTATTTATAGTGGAAATATACACACCATACATATATATGCTCAATGATTACCTCCCTCTACACATAAGGTGCATCTTCTTGACGTTGTTACAGCAACATTTGCAAATGGCAATGCTGCGACGTGTCCCCCACATCGATGCATCGGTGCATTGTTGTTTACGCGAAACCTGGAATATTCACTTGGACAAATGCAGGTCGCAGATGCAGATTTTTGCCACTTGCAGTTGCCGTCTTTGAAGGATGTGTCCGCATAATTTCTCACACACTATAGTACAAGCTCGTGAACGTGGACTTGTTGACGGACGCCGAATTCCGTGCGGGTCAATTTTATTTATGTCTGCGAATTTTGGTGTTGTGCAAGGTGCATTTGTTTACAAATTGTCTGATTTGTTATATGTATAGTAGCCTCACTTTTAAACGAAAATCAATAGTCCATTCATTTGGTAATGCAAAGCAGGAAGCAGTAAGCTTTGCGGAGGTTTTGACAATTAAGTTCAGACTAACAATTTAGCTTTCCATTTGCTGGCTTGTGCCGAACAAAATTAAAGAAGTTTTAGTTGTTTAAACGATGCCCTAATGGAGTTTTTTGAGAATATGTTGAATTTTTGGCGCTACTCGAGAGATCTTTACTTTTGGCGTTACCACATGTTCGCCTGAGTTTGAAAGTATAAATCCGGTCTCAGTCTTTGCTCGAATAGAATTACCCTTCCCCAGATTAACCCTATTCCTGGCCTTTCAGCTATGAAAACAAGACAGTTCTGTGGCACGCTAGATTAGAGAAAGTCCCCAAGAATCTTCATAGCGAAATAGCAATTTTCGGCATAAGGGAATGTTTGTTGCAAGTTTCAAGAAAAATCTTTGTCTATTTCATTTAACCAGGGAAATATCCGTAATATCAGGTAACCAAATAAGTTCGTGCAGTTTTTAGTAAAAAAATATAAATTTTTAGTGAGAAACAATAAGACACTATTTATTCGTCGAAGTAATTACCATCACATTCAATGACCTTGTGCCAACGTGGCACCAATTTTTGTATGCCGGTATTGTAGAACTCCCTGGATTTGGAGTAAAAAAATTGGTGAGCTGCATTTATTACACCATCTGGAGTTGTGAACCGTCGGTGCCTCATACAGTTGTCAAGAGACAAAAAAAATGAAATGTCGGGAGAATATGTCGGGTGCGGTAACGCTTCCCAGCCAAGTTCAGAATTTTTTTCTCGGGTCAATTTTGCGTTATGAGGCTTGGCGTTATCCCGCAAGAATATGACTTTCTTCTTGATCAAAGAAGGCTGTTTTTGGTTGAGTGCTGCTTGTACTCGTTGAAGCTGCTCACAATACAAGTTAGCAGTGATGGTTTGAGCCCTTTCCAAACCTTGTTTGGGTGCAAGGAAGCCTTGGGCGTGTGTGGTATCGAATCAGTAGGCGACAACCAATGATACGAACGCTTAAAATCCGATTATAAGATCCATTTCTCGTCGCAGGTTAATAGCCGATTAAGAAATTGTTCATTAGCATTGCGTGAAATGTTTGCTGAACAAATGGTAAGACGACTTAATTTGTTATCATCTGTCAGTTCATGTGGAACCCATCTGCTTAACTTCCACGTCTTTCCCAGCTGATGAAGATGCAAGCGAATAGTTTCAAGACTCACTCTGAACATTTCTACAACTTGTGAGAAAAGAAGGATTCATACTAAAGTGACAACAGGTAACTAACAATCGCTATCGATCAACAACATCCATGGCAATGTGCGATATATAGCAACCGCACGAATTTATTTGGTTACTTGATATATTGTTCTAATGGGCAACTAATGTATAAAGGATATATACTTAGTGACAGAAAAGTAAACACCTACGTATTTCAAATTCAAATTCAAATAGTTTATTCAAATTCAAATTCAAATTCAAAAACCAATATAACTTACAAATTAAAAACAACCTTCAGTACAATTTAAATAAAAAAAAGCTTAAAAAATACATGACCTTGTATACTCTTGCTACCGTGAATAACCAAGATTGCAACAGAAATCTGAGCAAAGATACTAGCATCAGATCTAGAACCAGCAAGTAACGGTATATGAATTTTCAAAATTCTGTATACTTTCGTGAATGGTAAATGTCTGAATCTTGTCGTCACAAATCCTAAATTACGTGTCTGCATAAACAAATCTAAAACTCAATAACAATAGTACAGAAGCATACTAAAAACACTCAGAAGGATAAATATAGAGTACATAAAATATGAATATCTGAAATATGATAATATAGGGATATTTCGAGTAAGGTCACACTATGTTGTTTAAACAATAAAAATTTTGCGTAAAGGTTAAGCAGAGATTACTACAAAAGAATAGACACCTAAGCTATAAGCTTGTGTGTGTGTCATACAATATACAAATCCAATGCATGGCTAATGGCCATAAGGTATATTATGAGCAAAATGTATATAAAAAAAAGAAATAAAAAAAACATTAGATAGAAACGGAATTACTGAGTTGAGTCAAGCTACCGTCGATGCAAGCATGTCAAAGTTATTTAAGATGAACTTCTTAATTCTTTTTTTGAAACTATACTTCGAGAGGATTTTATATTGTAGGGGTAATTTATTATACAACCTAATACCATCAAACTTTATGCATTTTTGAGAAACAGATTTATTCACTCTGGTATAGGTGTAACTTATATTTATTTTAGTTCTTGTTTCATAAGCGTGGCTGGTTGGAACATAGTTTCGGGAGTGAACAAATTTTAGAGCAGCATAAATATATAAACCTCTAACATTCAAAAGATCATTTTCAATGTAAACAAATTTGCAACTTGACCTACATGGGATACGAAAATAGTCCTAACAATATAATTTTGCGTGGTTTGTAGTATTTTTAAAGTACTAGTGTATGCGGCTCCCCAAATACTTATCCCGTAAGTTAGTAGAGACCCCACAAACGAGTTATATATTGAGAGAAGACTCCTTCTGCTTAAAATATTCCTAAGAATGAAAAACTTATGAATAATTCTCCCTAATTTCGATGCCAAAAGCTCGGCATGACTCTGCCATTTTAAATTACTGTCAATAGTAATTCCTAAGTATCTAATAACTTCAACTCTTTCGACAGTGTCAGCACTATCATTTATAATTAATGTGCAGTGGTGTAATGGCATGCCTGCTTTGGTTGGAGAAAACGTTACATACTTAGTTTTAGAGATATTAAGTTTAAGTAAATTGTTATCCAACCAGCATTTGACTTTATTTAATGACAACGCGGCATTCCGTATTGCGTCATCCCATGAATGAACAGTGCAAACTAAAACAGTATGTGTGTAATATGATATCATTTTACAGTTGAAATTACATCGAAGTAGTTCATTTATGTATATGAGGGACAGTGTTGGTCCCAAAACCGTCCCCTGAGGCACACCTATTTTGATTTTTTGAATGTTGCTTAAATCTGACCCTACCTTAACTTGTTGTAATCGATCAGCCAAATAGTTCTCAAATAAGTTCAGAACTCCGCTACGCACTCCAACACTTTCTAGTTTCTTTAATAAAATTGTATGAGATACTGAATCGAAAGGCTTTTGAAGATCTAGGAAAACTGCAACAGTCTTATTTCCATCTTGAAAATTTTCAAGCACTTGTCCTGTAAGTTCTTGTAGAGATTGCTCTGTATTGCAATTTTTGCGGAACCCAAATTGATAGTTCGATATTATGTCATATTTCTCAAGAAAAGAACAAAGTCTGTTATTCAAACACTTCTCAAAAATCTTCCCAAATACATTGATAACTGAAATAGGTCTATAATTGAACATATTGTCTTTACTTCCAGATTTAAATATTGGCGTCACTATGCTTTCTTTAAATTGGCGAGGAATTACTGAGGATTTCAAACAGAGGTTGATAATGTGAGGTATAGGGTGACTGATATACTTCATGATCATCTTAATAGTTTTAGTGTGTAAGCCATCTTTTCCCTGTGCGCTATTATTTTTCAGATTTCAAACTATTTGTTGTAACTCTATGTTATCCACTGGAGTTAGAAACATAGAGTGAGCAATGTTGACGACTTGAGGATCTGATGTATCAAGAATTGAGTGTTGATCAATCTGACTTGTTATTTGGTCACCTATATCAACAAAATATTTATTAAAAACACAGGCTATATCAGTGGGAGCGTCCAGCTGCTGATTATTGTGATTAATTGATTTTACGTCATTTTTTTTTATTTTGCCAGCATTAGTTACCTCATTAATAACATCCCAGCTCTTCCTATAGTTATTACCAGCTAAAATGAGTTTTTGTGTATAATATTGATTTTTAGAGATCTTAATAGGATTAGTTCTCTGTTTCTGTGGGAGATATAGGACTGTCTCAATATCAAATTATCTTTATCTTTCGTCAAACTCGGTTTCAACTCATCCCTCTTCTTGATCGAAGTAAGAATACCGTCAGTCATCCACGGCTTGCGTTTTCTAGTCTTACTATTTATTTTTAAATAATACGTTGAATGATCTATGCCTTTATATAATTCATTATAGAAGTTAACGTATGTTTATTAGAATTTAAGAATTCTTTACGTATTGATTTATCTTGCCATGAACAGCAAGTGATAAAATCATCAGGTTTTTCTGTTAAGCTTTTGTGGTGGCTGGTATACGACGGATTAGCCTTTTTTCTTGTCGCCCACATTGGGTGCTACCCCTCACAGCTGAACATCGGTGTAACCGTTTGCCCTGGTGTCGAGAAAGGGTTCTGTGGGAACGGGAATGGAATCAAGTGGTCTTTAATGACGAATCCCGCTTCTGTCTGGGTAAGGGAGTTATGGTATTGGGTGCTATTGCTTATGGTAGCAGATCACCACTAATTTTTATCAGAGGCAATATGACAGCTCCACTCTATATTCAGGAAGTAGTGGATCCTCATCTTGTTCCATACCTAAACACCAACCAAAACCCGATTTTTCAGCAGGACAATGCCAGACCGCATGTTGCCATTAGTCTTCATGGATCAACATCACATCAACCTTGTAATTTGGCTACCACGATCGACTGACCTGTCTAGAATTGATTCTAGAAAATCCCACGGTATGGCACAAAAAAACCTATAAAATGTAAAAAAATACCAAAATGTCACTTTTCAAGATACTTAATACCCGTGCCGGTGCGTAGCAAAATGCGTAGTATCTAATAGGCGTTTATAATCTCATCACACTCTAATTGAGCTTCTTCCAGTACCCAGAAAAAAGTTTCGGCGTCACGAGTCAGTCATTATCGGAACGAATTATACCACTTCATCCTTATGCGGCTCAT